TTAGCCTGATAAGCACAAAACCTGATTGATTAATTGTCAAAGTGCAGCGAGGTCGAGTTCAACATGTTTCACATTCAGAGAAGTTTGATTTATATCATCGTTCATTTTAATGCAGACATGTAAAAACATATATACAAGTCTTAACACCGGAGACATTACAAAATGTGTTTACAAAACTGGAACCATGCAAATAGCAGAAGACAGAATATCGTAACCCTCACACAGCGTCAGCAGAGAAATAAATACACATCGAAAAGAGGAACGTGAGGATTAATGTTAATTAAAAACACTTAGATAATATTCAACTCAACAATCAAGAACAAGATTAAATTAAAAATATGTTCAAAAGCAAAAATGTCTGTTTTCATCGTAAAACGTTTGTTTGTCATTTTAAAGTGAAGATTCTGGACTTCATCAGTGTTTGGATGAAAATAAACCTGAAAGGTTGTGGTCATGGAACCAGGGTCAACCTGCGGTCAGGGTCAGGGTCCTGCTGAGGAATCTGTCTCATACAATAAAACAAGAACAAAGTCGTAATGTGAAGAGCGAAGATTTTAGAACAAGCAAGAAAAAGAAAAGATAAAGTTCTTAAGTAAATGCTTATTTGTGAAACTTAAAGTTTAACTTAAAAAGATGCTGCACGTTCCTCATGTTAACACAGAGACCGATCTTCTGAATTCATCATCTTATAAAAGGACAGAATCAAATCATCACCGATCCTCAGATTTCTTTCAGTGACTCCAACACTGCGTCGTCCTGAGGCCACGGTGTTGCTCCCGGACATTCTGAGCTTGAGATCGGTTAAATTCTGGACACATCTGACGGACGAGTAAAGCAAACATGATGAACCTGAACACAACACGGGAGGAGTCTCTATGCGTTTCTACACAACAGCCGTGTCTCACATCAGGAGTCGTGTCCTCCAGACGCTGCGTCCGAAGATGACGTCACAGCGCTGCGACCGGACTGTCTCGTATCGAAGGCTCCTTCAAATGCGTCCATCCGCTCCTGAGCAACGAAGGATCCACACGCAGAGTTCAACAGAAACTGGACGCGTGGCTGTGTGTCGTTTAAACCTTCGTTCCTACACGAGCATGAAGCGGTTGACCAATCACAACAGAGAGAACCAGCTGACCAATCAGAGCAGGAGGGGGGGGGTGTTACAGAGACAGGAGCTAAAACCAAGAGTTTGAGACAGAGACTGAAAAGAGGAGCTGCAGCAATGGACAGTCTGAGGAACATGATTCTGACCGTTAGAGCACGAAGACATTTTACAGTCATGACATTAATTAAAATCTTCAACTTGAAATGAGCCCGTTGTGTCTCATTGAAATGTAGTTTGCAGAAATTAGAGTTTAAATTGAAAGAGCACACACTCTCACAGATAAATGTGTTTTTGAGCAGCTTATTAAAACATTTTGAAACCACTGTACTGACACGTTTGTGATGTCACAGCTTCCACACACTGAACCCTCAGAATTACAGACGACGTTTCAACAGTGTGTAAATATTCAGAGGAGTCGATCTTCCGGAGCAGAAAAGTCAGAAAGGAAAAAGAGCTTCTAATGCCCCATCTCACCTCTGTTTACAAAAATGATTAGAAAAATTCTACATATGAGAAATACTTCATGTGCCCTGGAACTGTGGCCTGACTCTTCTCCACTAGTACACAGATAACTGAGCATCAGCGTCGTCCATCTTTACGCACAGTCACTGATTTTAGAGACATAACACTCAGACAATAATGATTTTCAGACGGTTGCTTATGCCACAGACCCTTCACTTCATATTTACTCATATTTAGCCAGGAACCACGCTTCCTGTTTCACATTGGTGAACTGATAAGGCAAACATGTTTCGTACATTAAAAAGGTTCCGCTCTTGAAAATGAAAAAAACAAACATGCACTGTTGAGTTAAACGCTCAGTCAGACAGAAAGCGTGATCGCAGCAGGATTCTGGTCGTGGCTTCAGTTCCAACATCAGTGATGCAGGTTCAACGTTGCTTCCTCTCCCTCAGATGTTCAGCGCAAACACCATCGTCAGATCTCGACACCGTTCTGTGGGAGAGGAGGCTGCGAGAGGACGACCACCGCGTACCAAGGCAACCTTTTCCCATAATGCATCAAGAAGAAAGTGGCATCTCCTCCTCCTTTTGAGGAAGCAATAGTTTCTTTTCAACGTGTCCTCCAGGTTTTCACAGCGGCCCCTGCTCACCACACATCGAGTCAAGAAGCAGGGAGCATCTGTCGTCACTGATCAAGTTTTAATGCTCGAGCTCCCACCTACCACAGCTGAGAGGAGGCAGGAGGACCAGAGGGAACAGGTTAGGAGTTCTCCTGCAGATCTTTGGCCTTCGTCAAGACGATGTGGACGTCTGAGATGGGGTAATCCTGACGGCAACACAGAGGAGAGACAAGAAATCTGCCTGTGTGAATATGAAGCTGATATTTAGCTTCAGACTAAACTGAGAAGTCTGAAGGTCTGAAACAAACAAGGTGTGAAAGAGTCGACTGTCACAATCAGCTCCAGCAAGAGTGAAGCTGAACTGTAGATCAGTTAAAAACACTTCTTAGTGTTCACTCACTAAATGCCCTTCAAGTTGTGTGATAACAAAAGTCTTACCTGCAGTAATCTCATATTGACTGTGAAGTCTCCTGCCAGTAAATTGTCTCTGATGAGTCTGTGAACAGATAAATTCAACACGATTGAGATGAAGAGTCGGAGGCAGCAGATCTGAACCAGACACAGAACAAGAATCCGAGAAGCTCACATGAGCATAGCGCAGCAGACCAGGATGAGGAAGTGGAATCGGCCCTCGTCAGAAAACAGGGTGTCCCAGATGCGGATGACGTCTGGCAGGAGGAACTCCTGAGACAACAACAGGGTCAGCCAGCGGAAAGTGAAATACTGAGGTTTGATGTTCTGCTCTTCCTGTGTGGGCAGAAAAACACAAAGGCACGAGGACAAAGAGCAAAGTCAGGTTTTTGACTCCAGCTGTTGAAAAAGAACCACAGCAGAGATTTCTCTTCATCTACTGAGATGTGACCTCACCAGTTTGAGATAGAGCTCCAGGTCTTTGTCTTTGAGCATGGAGTACACACTCTCCATTTTGTAGGTGATGCCGCACTGCGAGTCGTCCAGGCTCTTGATGAAGTTGTCTCTGTTCTCCGACATCAGGTTGGTGAAGCAGAAGAACGTGTCCGCCTCGGCGTGCTCTGAATAACGAAGCAGACACGAGTCACTGATTGATAAGGATTATTTGCGGAGGGAGAAACATCTCGGACGTTCAAACATAACCAACCTTTCCACTGACTGTTTGGATCCGTGGCAAAGGTGTAGTAAATTGGGCCGACGATCTCGTTCATGCCTTGCACGTAGGCGATCCCGGGGTTGAGTTTGGCGTAGATGAAGAGGATCCGCTCCACCACCTCCCAGTGTGCTTCACTCCCATTGGGCAGCACCTCGTACTCGTTAGACGGATACAGGTTCAACGACTTTCCAGGAGAGCTGACCTGAGAGAACACATTCAGACTCTTTGAAAGTGGAACAATTCTCCACAGAGAGAAATCCATGATTCTCAGAAGTTAACGTCCGGTGACGAGGTCAAACGTGAAAAGACTTCAATGTTTTGAGCGTTTTAACGATCCTTAAATCCATGAGCACTGAACACACACACACTTACATTGGTGACTCCGCTGCGGTTGCGGTTCACAGTTTGAGCTTTCAGGGTGGTTTGTTCAACTCGTCGGCGCAGCGTCTCATAATCGTTCTGAGGATCCAGGATGAGTTGGCAGGGGTAGTCGGTGGGACGTTGGAAAAACGCCATGTCTGGGTACAGACGCCTAGAAACAAACACCAACTTCTTTTTTAACCATCTAAACAACAGGTGGGGAGAATGATTTTTCTTATGTACAGGACCGATGATGAGGCTGTGGAAAGAAGAAACCAGTAAAGGGAGAGTTTACCTGACATCCTTGTCGATCTGGAGCAGAATCTCATTATCTTTGAAGTAGTTGTTCCACCTGCTGTCAGGGTTTGGATTTAGAGGCTGAAAAAATTAAATGGCACAAACAGAGAATCAGTTTCTGCTCCAGTCATGTTTCACCTTGAAGCAAGGGGTCACGTGATCTGTTGATTTATTAGTTATCCTATTTATTCATAGTTTGAATTTGTTTAGGACACAGCAGACTTCACTCACATGATCCTCCATGGTCACATCCTCTCTGGAAAGGCCCATGTTTGCTTTGGCAATACCAGGCTGGATGATCATTTCCTTTAAGAACTGGGAGTAGACGTCCCTGAGAGAAACACGGGACGAAGACATTCGATCGATCAGTTAGATTTCATGCAGAAATGTTCTGATTTTAGTTTCTCAGAGGTTTGCAGCTGTGTCATTTCAGACATGACAACTTGATAGAAAACCATAATAAACAGCAGCAGGTTGGGTGAGTCCCAGCTGAAGTTCTAATCAGCTAACAACATTACCTAATGCCCTCATGTTGATAGCAGCTGATTTAGGTTTAGCCTAGTGACATCAAATGATTCCTTCAAATGAAAACACAGTAGTGTGTGATCGAAGGTGAACACGTTGCACCAACCTCTGCTTCTTGAGGAACGACTCCCATAACGTCTGATCGAGGGGAAGGTAATTAAGAAGGATCTGAAAAGAGTGTCATCAAATAACTGATTCAAACCAAACTCATCAGAAACACTCCAACAAACATCAGTGAGATAAGAACGAACTGAAATGACAGAAACCATCTTTAATATTTTTTGTTTAGTCCATGTCCCAGCAACTAACACTGAGGAGGCAGACTTTATGACCTACACTGGAGCCAGCCACCAGGGGGCAAATGAGATGTTGTGGCTTCACTTTTGGGAGCCGTCATGTCCTCCATCTTTATTTACAGTCCACGGACACAATTTGTGATGAACCAAAGACTCTGTCTTCAGGATTCTCACCTTTTCTTATTCATTTAGGAGAAAGATAGGGATTCGTTTTAAGACTAAAATGTTTCAGCATGGAGTCTCTATATTGTTTCTTATTATCTCCATAATAACAAAACGTTCATAATCCTCCCTGTGTTGCACACGTGCAGTAGAACACGTCAAATTTAGTCATTTTTAATTTTCGAAGCAGAATATAAACCCTTGTTGGAGACAAATAATGAATCTGCACTTTGTACAGGTTAATAATCATGTTGCTCAATTCATTGAACCTACATGAGACAGAGGAAGAGCAACTTACCTTCCAGCAAAGTGCTCGTGTTCCTCCTTCAAATGGGATTCCTGGGTTGAATAAGAGAAGAGGGTCAAACAGCAGAATAAAATATCACACAACAAGAATATTACCAACACAAAACACACAGAGATGTGAAAGTCACCATTGAAGCAGAGCTCCCTCAGAGTCTTCAGGTTAATGTTTTCTTCACTCAAGGCGACTTTGAACTCCTGTATTCTGAAACACGGATCAACACAAGGTCAGACCCACAGTAACTTCAGAGGCCACATCACATACGCTTCCGTTCTCCAGCCTCTGAATCAGAGACTAAACGCTGCCGATCTCATTTCAGTTTGAAAACTCTGGTTTTGAGACTTTAGTAAACGGTGACGCCCACGTTCTCTTCTGATTCGTTCTCATCAGTCACATGACTCGACTACCAGCGGTGAGGACAAAGCGTCGCTAACACTTCCTGTCAGGAACAGCTCCACCTCGTCCCTGCTCTGACTCTTCACCATCACTGCTCCTCCTTCAGAGGAGGTTCTGTTACTAAGCAACCGACTGCAGAGGAGACCATCTACTTCCTGTTTACATCACATGACCAGTGGAGGTGACCGGTCATGTGACATGTATCAGTGGTACCTTCATACTGTGGCTCCGCCCCTCAACACTTCTGCACTGACTCAAAAAGTCAAGATGGCAGGGCCCGGATCAGAGACAGAGTCCCCGGATCAGAGACAGTGTGTCCCTGGATAAGAGACAGTGACCCCGGATCAGAGACAGTGTGTCCGGATCAGCGACAGTGTCCGGATCAGAGACAGTGT